TTAGGGGCAAACACAATTTAATGGGTGTAACAATTCGAGTCTAGGTAAGGCCTTACTTAGTTTGGGGGACTTGCACCTTGCATTTGACAAATTCCTTTCCCCTGTGTGAAGCAGGTAGGCCTATGCCACTATGTATGTCAGTACATGATTAGTGGGGTGGGTAGGTGTTGACAGTAAAGAGTTTACAAGTTGACTGCCTGGGGGCCAAGAGGGCGGTGCCCAGGTGTGTAAATTGTGTACACAGTTTGGCCTCCGGATTGATCCCTGACGTCTACAACGCTGAGCAGATGACAGGCTGACTCAAGGTTAACCCGACTTTAAAGGGTAGTGCGATTTTTGAGAGAAACCATGATTAAGTTCATTCCACCATGTCCTGCTGCTTATTAGTCACCTTTAAACTTAAGTCATTAATGTCAATTTTTTTGAACGTGATTAGGTTTTACGTATAGTAGGCCTAACGCGCTATCGTGACCGATTAACTTACTACAGGTTTTTTGGTCTCTTAAGATGGCGTCCCGGTGGTGCAATCTGTTAAAGTCATGTGCAACCTGATTGAGTTTCCGTATCAAAGAGGTCCTTCATCAAACTGTCAGTATTTTTATACAATATCCTGGGGGGGGGGGGGGGGGTTCTCGTGGCGTGGAAATCCATAAATCAATTTTTGAGGCAAACAATTTTTTTCTCATGCGAAAGGGGGAAATGGATGGTAAAAGCGAAGAACATGACTCCAAATTACAGGATTCAAATTTCTACCTGAGCATTATCTTGCTCATGACAAGTTGTTATGGGGATTTGTGAGCTAGGAGCTAGTCTTTGGGAGAAACACTTGCTCTGTGATGGGGTATTGTAAGCTACATCTAATACGCTGTCATGACTTCTTAAAAACATGTGTTACTACATTTTGTATAAAACCTGTCACTATATCAAAAGCTCCAATTTGGATCTACACGATAGTACTTCTTTACCAAGAGTATACGCACAACTTTCCTCACGGCCCCAAAACAATAACCAAATGTACATGTATCTCCCTTACTCGGGAGGTGGCGCTCTTTACCACCTTAGGACGAGGCTTGAAACATGGACAAACCTTGTACAGGTGGACATTTTGCAGCAGGTGGGTACACGTGTCTACTGAGAGGTTGTAAGAAGACGGTATGTCTATCCCCACTCGTCCAGTGTTACGATCGTCGGTACAGCTAATGTTTTTATCCCCGTAGGTGCCACCGCGATGTTAATGCCGCTGGCACCGTACCGGTGTGTAGCGGCGCTGGAGCTGGCTGCTCAAATCTGAGGTATAAGTCTGATATCAAAAAGCTCACATGTAACAGGTGTGCTAAGCGGGTGTCGGCACATTGATCGTAAAGGTGATAGGATGCTAGCATATTAGCTTCTTGTAGATTTGTGAAACTGGTGAACACTTGTCAGAAGTGTGGTCAGGTTGGAGCTGGATGAGTAATCAGATTTTAGGGAGGGGGGCGGGGCGCCAGGTGGGTGCACGCGTACCTGGACCTAACACCCGCGCCATTCAGGCCAGACTGGTGCCCACAGGTGCTGATGAGAGAGCACAAAATCCTTTCTTTCTGCCTAGTCATTCTGGAAGGTACCAGGAAGTCTCGGGAAGTCCTATTGGCGTCAACAAATCGTGAAGTCAGGCTTACAATCGGAAAATGGTATTGATGTTTTTACGTTCAAGCACAGCGTCATGTTTATAATAATCTAAATGTAGCGTGCTTTGTGCGCATGTGGTAAATCTTTTAAAACGTAGAAAGTTGACGTCATACTTTCATCCTGATCATCCCAATTTAGAAGCCACCCACGGTTTTTGTCCCACCCAGGTTTCCAGACGAAGTAAAGTGCTAAAGCCGATGATGATCCTGAATAGTACAGGAACATGGATAATGCAGTAGGCCTACACCGTGATTTGCTTGAGCAAGTCGCAAAAACACCTGTGCATGCTGGCAAAGCAAAGTATATCTTGCGCCACATAGCTACCTAAAGAATCAAATTCAATCCATGAAAGTCCTTACCCCATTTACATGTATTTCCTTATTTCCTTACATGTATTTACTTATTTTAAATGGGCGGCCAAGTGGAATCCACTGGTCGATCCCGTGGGTACTGCTTTTTCCAAGGTTTGGAGCTTTGCTAATTTTGCTATCATGGTAACTTTTTTATGGATAAAATCTTACAAAATTCCCCTTAAGATGAGAACGCTGTTCACACGATTACTGCAACTCCAGACCGCCCACTTTCGATTAAGTGCACCGTTTTGAACGGGGTAATGTTGAAATTTGAAAGTCGCCAGAAAATAAGCTCGGAAAATTGGGGGGGGCTTAACTTCCAACAGCGATTTTCAGAAATCACAAAATGGCCCTTAGCTCACCCCTCAGAGGATTACGACCCAATGAACGATGACTCATCATATCTGGAATGATTCACCGTGTGCTGTGCGATATTATTTTGTTTTATCCATCCAATGGTGATAAAACTCCCAGGTTGAAGCCCGGATTGTGCTTATTAGTCTGAGCCAGTCCTACTTGTCAACATAAGTCACTGTGAATAGGGCCAACGTGCATGTCTACAAAGTGAACAAAATTTCTCCTGGCGTATGTCTAGAGTATAATTTCCAGAGGGGGACAGTTTGGGGCCTCATTTTATTGAGGAGGTGGAACTTGGCTACTGGCCATCCCAAATGTTTAAGCAGGCTGCAGGAGGCCAGGGGGGGGGGGGGCATGTCCCCTTTCGGGGGGGGGGGGGGGGACATGCATGTCCCCTTTCCCGTGATGATGACATGTCCACCAACTTTGTGACCGTAAGGTGGGAGGCTACATGGGCTGTTTCTATGACCGCCTGTTTCCGTGACTCAGCTCCGAGGTCTGGTCTGCATCTGAAGAGGGAAGAAATGGGTCAGGAAGGGGGTCCAATGAGGTGCGTCCGAGGGGTCCCTAATTTTGATTGAAGGGTGTCCGCATTGAAAGAGACATTTTGAAGTTTTCTGCCAGACGTTCTAGATTTCTAGATCTAACAGCGACATGCTCGAGCAGACATCGCCATATTTTTTTCTGAATCTCCCATTTTGATCAAATTTCAAACAGAATGGGTGGATTTACCGTATAAGGACTGCATGAACAATGTGCCAAATGTTGTTACAGAACCGTTCAAGTTTTCTATCTCCACAAATCAAGATGGTCACGTGGTCAACTGCGATAAATTTTACTTGCGAGTCCAATTAAAGCGATGCATCGACGCGATACATCCTTTCAAATTTGAATGTTGCTACACGATCTCCTTCATTTTGAAGTACTTTTTGTAGTCAGTTAATAAATCCAACTTTTTGATCACGCGTGTCCTGTAGGCTTAGGCTTTTTGTATAATACACCTCCAAGTCCAAGAACCCTTCAAATTGTAGGTTCCTGTGAGCTCCAAAGTGCAGTTCGGGTTTGTGCTTACATTCTCACTAATAGGCTATACATGTAACTGGATGCTTACGAGATCTGACACGTCCGTCCTAAAATTACCCCGTGTTTGGTCGAGCCGACACTAATCCAATAAGTCACCAAGTCCCAAGAAATTAATGACAATAATAGCCTGGTTTCCTGACCAAACATGTAACAACTTGGAGAAATTTCAATAGGAATTTTGGCAGGTGAATGATTGGGCGTATTACAAAACCCCTGGGCAGCCGAATTACCCTTGCTATGCGATTTATATTACAATACCCCATAGTCACGACACCTGTGCCTCGGAAAATTAGGTACAAGGGAAATGGCCCATTGTCCTCTAGGCTAAAAGTTTATACAATTTTGATAAAGAAAACTCAAAGTCACTGGTACAAAAGGCCTTTGTTACCCACATGTAGTATAAAACCATGCAGGTTTACTCGCTCGGCCCCGCCTACCTATTTTATTTCTAAGAGAAACAGAGCATCGAAAGAAAAATCCGGAAATTGTTTTTCCAGTTTTCTTTTTAAACCACTTTGGAGGTGTGTACAAACGTGCCTACCGATTAATTCGTCTGATTACATGCTCGGCATGCGTGTCGGTTAAGATGAAAGTTTAATACTGGGTTCCCGCCAAAAATAGTCCAAACACACCTGGGCGCTTCACGTGGGTCCTCGTATTTTTAATCCGGCACTTTCTGCAGAAGACTTTAGCAGAGGTTGTTGTTAAACAAAAACGCACCCAGTGTGTGTGTGGGGGCGTAGGGTGGGGCTAATTTGTTGTGATTTAGTAAAAGGACCAAATTTTCTTCGGTGATGAGAAAAAGCTGCGTTCTTTGAACGTCGCCATAACGACACAGACCTGGTATGGTAATTGACTCGAATTGGTTTCTTTGAAAAGCCAAATTTAACCGCTTCTGACCCGTGGCGAGGTTTTCGGCTTATATTGTCAGATTTCAACAATACCGTACATCTGTTCTTTAGAGAATAATTGTTAATGCCCAATGCTTGTATCTTGTACTACGTGCGCCTTCGTTCCTCTTTCGAAAAAACCCCACTTCGGTAGATAAACTAAAAAGACACTACAGACGTAACTCTTCATAATTATTCACAGGTGAAAACATAAATGGGATTCCTAGCAATTAAAACAAATCTACTAAGCAGGTACTTAGCAATAGCATTCGTTAAAGTACAATAATTGTTAAGCAAACCATCTCTTTTCGACACAAAATTTGAGCCAGATTATACACCCTCAAAGCGTGCACTTATGGCAATAGGCCTACACACTTCTCTCAAACCACTGTGATCCGACAGACATTGAGTGGTCCCATTTGCAAAGTTCAATATTATTTAAACTGAGGTCGCACTGGCAAGATTCGGCCAAATGAATGAATTCGACGTAATAGCTCCCCAACGTACACTGAAACGACGCGAAAGAGACTGATGTGAAAGTACCATATGGCTTTGCCCGTGTGGGGCGGTCACACAATGAGACAGGTACCTTGGGAGTTTTTCTCACTTTTCTAACTTCATCCTCTCTGATTTTTGTTTCTATTTCTAGCGGACAAGCACCGTCTTCACTTCCAGTTCAACCTGAGCCACGTGCCTGCCACGGAGATGCTACTCCAGGCGGAACTCCATCTCTTCAGACTCAAGCCCAAGATGCGACCCACCGTCACTGTGTCTGGGAAGAGGCAGCCTTTCTACCAGGTTCGTTATCCTTAAAATTTGTAATGGGTTGAAGGTGGGATTCTAACCTTGGACCTTCGCAACACCGCACATGTGCTCTAACAACTGAACCATTCGGATCCACGAGGGACTACCAACATAGGAATCGATCGGAAGATCAATAATCATAGAATTTTGCGTGGGCCGGCAGAATATGATCGCGGTTTCATTTATTTGACAGCAACGATGACAACCACAAAATGTAATCTCACCAACGACAAAAAAAATAAACATTACATTCTATTTATTTCCCGCCACAGATCCAATTGTATCAGCTTGCCAGTGAGGACCTCACGTCGATAGAGGGCGCCAAACTGATTGGACTGCGATTGGTCCGAAGTGTTGGGACGGAATGGGAGGTCTTCAGCATCACCGATGGTGAGCATCTTGCGTGCCATGAAAATAAATGTTATTTGAAAGTCCGCATCGTCAACATTTTAAATTTAACATTTATAAAAAAAAATGTAGAGGAGATAGAGGTTAAAGTTCAATAAAAGAGTGCTATTCTAAAATAGTCTGTACAAAGAAAATAAGTTGCAGAGTCAGAAACCATCACTGCAAACTTCAATTGTGAAGAACAATAAACATTTTAAAAATGTTTTCTTATGGACCAACCAATTCGCAAATGGCGAAGAAACTCAATTATTAGACAGTACCATTGTAAATCATATCTTGGTCTTCTATTTCAGCTGTGTCCAGCTGGCTAGCGGATGAGCGAACTAACTTTGGCGTACTGGTCACCATCAGCTCCCTGACCGGGGAACCGATGGACGAGAACTTCATCCGCTTTGCTCAGCAGGGCAAGCATCATCCCACCAAGCATCCATTCCTGGTGCTGTACACCAGCGACCTGAGGCAGATGGACAGCGCACACACAGGCCAGGGTAAGGCGCTGTTTTCAATTGCTGAACCTGAAGGGGCATGCATATCATCCTCTGACTGATTACAGTCACTGACCGACAAGAGTCCCGACTGACTGAGTCATTGACTGACTGAATCACCGAGTACAACTGATGTTCCAAACATTTAAAAACTGAACATTTAAAAAACTGAACATGGCGACTTTTTCTAGCCCTAGGTGGTTTAAAATATGAAAATAGTGGACTAACCAAGTTACAATTTCTGAAAGGGAGGGGCAAAATAATTTCAATCATAGCGAACTTGCAGTACAGGTCCACCTTTTGTCCAATAAAATGCTACTCGACGGATCAGAAGATGGTTCTTAAAGAAACGTATAACTTTATCTCCCACAGATGCTGTAGAAAGTGCATATGAGACATTCTTTGAGACTTACGGCAACCTCAATTCGCCGCCTTTCACTGACTCCACGCAAGCCGGCCCCACGCCAAACGTCAACACTAACCGCTACAGCGATGACAAAGTGACAACAACCAAGGAGACGCGAACAGGAACTGCGACTTCAAGAAACAGGAGGGACAACCGGCAGGATTTAGACACGGAGTCGCCGACGGAAGACTCGGCAACGGCCGGTGGCAGCAGTGGCAAGAAGGCCAGCCCCAAAGGCACCTGCGCCCGCAAGTCCATGTACGTGGACTTCCACGAGATCGGCTGGTCAGATTGGATCATCTACCCGGTTGGGTACAACGCGTACGAGTGTGCGGGGCGATGCCCGTTCCCGCTGGGGCAAGCCGTACGGCCGTCCAACCACGCCACGGTGCAGAGCCTGATGCATCTCATCTCCGCCGACGTAGCGGCCCCGTGCTGCGTTCCCAGCCAACTGGACCCCATCGTGGTGCTGTTCTTTGACAGCGACAGCAACGTGGTGTTGAAGCAGTTCGACAACATGGTTGCGACTGCTTGTGGCTGCCGCTGATTCAGATATTTTTATTCAACATGTAACACCCTGCACAATTAAAAGGACTTTCTTAAAGGAATTTAAAAGAGTAAACAGCTCCAGGGGTCCACTGAGTCTTAAAGAACTGCAGGAATGGAACAGTTACAAACTGTTATCCTGAAAAATATTGAAAGAAGGCCAGTTATATCCTGAGAACGATCACCAAACAGAAATATTCCTTAATTCTTTTCATAGTATAATGCTCTAATATTTACATGTACAACAGTCTCGCGTTATCGATTTCTTCATGGAAAAATAGTGTATTAAATATATGAGTGTAAAAAATATTGCAAGTGGTTATATTTGCATGTCTTTAATGTACATACAAGGAGCCTCATTTCCCCCTTTACTCTTGGCCAAGAACTAGTACAAAGTACAGAATTTTCTCTTTTTTTAAATCATGGCTAAAATAATCTTTCTTAACATTCGTTATAGATAATTTTATTCTGTTAACAGTATTTTGTTTTAATTTGTGAATAGTAAAAGGAAAATAGCACCCAGCTATGTATTCAAAAGTAAAGTTTTGTACAGATTTTTTTTTTTTTTGGAGGGGGGATTTGAAATATGAACTACTGCCATTTACTTAGTCCAAACAATAGACAGCTTCAGTTGTAGAAATAGGTTTTCACATTTTGTCATTTACCAAATTTTTTCGGGGGGGGGGGGTCAGAAATCACAATATGAAATAAATGCAACACAATCTAAAATCCGCTTTACAACAACTTTTTTTCCCTTAAACACTGCCACTGATTAGGTACTCCCATAGAATGTTTGAAGAGTGTAGTTTATTTCCCTAGGAAAACAGCACATACTATAGGACTACGGTATATTGAATGTAAATAATAAATAAAACCTCTTTATACATTAGATTTAAGTTTATGTGTTTGCCTTTACATTTGAACGTCATGTTCGATATTTAGGAGGTGAGCCTATATTGAATTGTATTATAAATTCTTCCAGATGACGGTATTATGTGTTTTTAGCTTCATTGTAAAGTGACATCATGTAATGTTCACCTTGTAGGGTTTTTAAATTTTATTTTACTTTACAATAGCTTCTAAACCACTCGGTGAGAATTTACACCATGAAAGTTCAATTTACGGGGTTAGATTTGAAGTTGATTCTTGTTAATGCTTTAAACAAATTATGGCATTTCTGATTCAGATTGATTGTAAAATATTAGAGTTGGCTCAAACTACGTATGTATAATCCCACGAGCGTGAGTGGAACATGGAATAATGTAGTGCTTCTGTGTCTCACATGCCATGAGGCCGCAGGCCGAGTTGTATGTGGGCTCAGACGCACTACATTTTCCGTGTTCCACGAGCGCGAGTGGGATAACAAATTTATCTTTAAGCAAACTTGACGCACAGTAAAGTGAACGAGCATGCTTATATTTACAGTCGTCTTTTACTGTAGTTATCCGTGCGTGCAGCTGGAATGGCGCTCGCATCATCAAATACGCGGAGTGCGATATGGACCTTGCTAAATGGGATAAAGTAGCACGGTTTGTTGCCATGGATCGACCAATCAGGATGAAGAATTCAAGTTTATTTTGAAGATAAATGATCTTGTATGGCATTGAAATAATACGCTGAGCAAACTGGCTTCACTTGCTTTTCTGGTTCATTACTCCGCAATAGGCCACAAATGAAAACATTCACATGCACTGTCTGGATCTTTCTTATTTAGGAATAAATAAACCCAAACCTTTGTACATTTGTACATTATTAATGATCTAATAAAACTGTATTATTTAATCATAATCGTCAGTTAAAGTGTTCAGTGTGCTTTTTCTTGTAAATGTACGAGTCTGGGAAAATGTGATCACTGCACATGCAAGGGACACCACAGTTTTGGCAACATCTTGTGGTGGTTAAATATCCGGAAAGAGTTCCATACCTGGACATCACTTGACACCCTGCGCACAAACCCTATGAGACTGGTCTGAAAAATGCCAAGTGTTTTCTCAGTAAATGCTTCAATATTTTCCCTGTTAAATTTGACTTTTTAGGGCATGTTATCGCTTTCTGATGGCTGATGCATGTAGGTCACTGAAGGGAAAAAGTCGTGATGTCCTTGTATGGAATTCTTCTCAAATGTCCATATACCTAAACTTTTCGAAGTTGTAAAAGAGCTGTTTAACAGGTTCATTCAAACAAGATGAAGGTTCATGTAATGTGTACTTTGGTGAACAATCACGGCAAAAGCATGGGACACCACAGTTTTGGCGACAATATTGTGGCAACTACACGTATTATTAAAAAAATCCCACCTCATTGAGCCAAAACTGAGGCTTCTCACGGGTGCAGCCAAGCAAGTGCTCTGCCCAGGTCAGCCTGGGATTCAAGCACAAATGTGATGTGATCAAGCTAAATGAGTCGTTTGTCGACCCTGGTCAATTTTTTTTTTTTACAGATTTGAAAAGAGCACCATCTCAGCGTTACTGCTGTGAAAACCGCATGCTGATACCATGTTTAGTTAAAAACATTATGGAATTCAGAACACCAAGAGATGTAATGAAGTGATGTGATGAAGTGGCCCTACTTTGGCCTGAATCTGCAACTGAAAGTTCCCGACAAACGACTCATTTAGCTCGATCACATCACAATTGCCCTCCTCATTAATAGAAATGCGATCACTGGGGTCAATGAACAATATGCGTGAACAAGTAAATAAGCAAATGCCCTTCTTGTACGATATCATTGCTTAGTGACAGCGCCCTCTCTTGTTCACACACGGAGTCTAAACCAGCATGCAGCCTACAATCTCTCATTCATGTCATTTACTAGAAGTATTTACATTTGGGCTTGAGTCGGCTTTTTCGTCACCTTGGTTGTGGGTACTGCTGCAGGAGGTTCGTGACTTGCTTGCCTGTCATCTTGCCGGCAATTTTGCCGCTCTTCTCTGCAATTTTGGCGTCTCTCTTCACTTTCTGCAGATGGGATGAGGGGGCAACAATACAAAAGTTATCAAATTTTGATAAGTGTAACCCTTTTGCTCTGTGGGACCACAAAAGCTTGTTTCGCCGAATCTGCACTCCTCTTCATGTTTTTAAAGTTTTTACCTGGGCTTCCGTGCAGCATTTCTGGAAGACTTTGATTTCTTCGATGCAGTCAGCGTCGTTGTAGTCATGTTTCTTCCAGCAAGCCATCAAGACGCTCATCTCACTGATGCATTCCGCAGCTGCCAAAGGAAAATATTAATGTTCAGTGCAATTAGGTTTACCTTTTAATTGCAAAGAATCCAGATCTAATTCTTGGTGACTTAAGTTCAAATAAATTTCAGTTTCAAAACCTAGTAAGCCAGACAACACAAAAATGAAATTCCCATCTGATGTTTTACCCAAAAAAATGTTGGCCCAAAGCATTGCGCAAAGTATCGTACCCCTCATAACCAGGAATTTCAAGATAGATAGGGCCTAAATACTGAACTGCTGAATTAATGCTGCCAAGTGCCAATTCTGTTTTTAAAACTAAATAATTCTACAATTAACTTAAATTAAGGTAACACGGCAACATTAAAGGTTAATTAAGTTTTGTTTAGCTTCCCTGTACTGAAATATTGGCTTCTACTGTAAAAACTAGATCATAATTGTGCGCCACATGGCACTAAATATGACATAGCGCAACTGGTCAATACAAAATTACACGATTCTTTCCAACATTTCCTTTAGTTCTTACCTCCTGGTCTGTTCTTTCTCAGCGCCACTTTATTATTCAGTTTAAACTCTCTCTGCCGATGCTCAAATTTGTTGGGCCAATAATGATTTCTGAGGATGATTTCATTCATGCGTTTCGACATTTTCGTAACTGTTTGAGTGTAGAAAATAAGATCTTTGCACGTGCCGTGCTGATTAAGTTGGCAGAGTCCGAACGCTTGAGGGCGTGCCGGCCGGCTTCACACATCATTCAGACCTTCGCGGCTTGATGATCATGCTGATTCTGATTTGGTCGTTTGTCTGTAATTTTTCAGGAAAATGGCGGAGAGGTTGAAGGCGATAAGGGAGAAATCAAAACAACGACGAGCCTTGCTCGCACAGACGGTAGGCAATGGTATAATCTAAGTATTAAGAGAGGGCTAATCAGTCATTTGTCAATGACAATGTCACTGTCATAAATCAATGTTCCACTTCCGAATTCCACGAAGCAGCCTTATGATTTCAGAAGTAACTTCCATCCAACTTCAAAGAAGTCACTACCACCGCCTTTAAAAAAATAAACAACAATGAGCTTACAATTATATTATTAGTTACTTCTGTATGCCTATTTTTGTGCAAGATCTCATTAATATTAATGATGTCTGAGGTTCATTCTTCTTCTTTATTTGATGTGATTAATTGTCCAGCTGAATGTAACTGATGCCGATCAACTGAGCAGTGTCCTGAGCAGTAAGGCGGAACTAGAGACGAGAAGCAGCGGTCTTACTGCACCCAAGGATGATCAGACTAGCACAAGGTACAAAAACCCACATGCAATCACATCATGCTGGATCCAATTATGATTGTCTTTGTGTTTTCTACTAATCCTTTATCACTATTTACAAGTTAAATATATCGGGTATGACGTTAGGAGTCTCAATATTGTGCATTGAACTGAATTCGGTGTTGTTATCTTTGCACTAATCAGCACCGTCACATCGACCACCACAAGCCCTCCAACTAAGCGCAGAGTAGTAGGAGATACGAAGACATGGCAGAAGGCGCCAAATGCTTCTAAAGAAACCTCCGCTAAGGTGAGTCATACCATGGATTGTGGAGTTCAGAAAGGTGGAACCCAGCGCTATTACTTTACCTGGGGCTTGTTGCCTCTGGAAGTTTTGGAGTTCAAAGAATTTGCCATTTTTTTCCTGCACGGTGGAAATTTTTGAGGATTTCGTAGCAAAATGTAAAGGTGTTTAGGATGAAAGACTTTAATTCTTTCTTGTTGATGCGTTCTGTTGCCAGGACAACCAGGAGGAAGATGAAGATGACAGTCTCGTGGAGAAGGTCTACAAGGATTCCAGCACATTCCTAAAGGTACGCGTTTAGGAAACCTTCTTGGCTCGCAGATTGTGGGAAGCAGGGAGAGGAGGAAAATTAAGGGGAGTTTACTACTGATTTACCCAGTACAGGATAAGGGATATAATTACTTTGTTATATTTATAGTGAATGTTTTGCTTGCAGGGAACACAAAGTGCCAATCCTCACAATGACTACTGCCAGCATTTTGTGGACACGGGTCAGCGGCCACAGAACTTCATCCGGGATGTGGGTCAGTTCACTTTCGTAGTATTTTATATAAATCATGAGTTTGACCTCATATTAAAGATGTCCAAATATATTTGCAATACCCCTTACGTGGATTCTCTCCATTTTCAGAGATAACTACTTCAGGAAACCCCAAACAACCCGGAAACTGTTTTAAACCTGCTCGGAATCCTTTTCTTTCTCTCAGGACTTGCCGACAGATTTGAGGAGTATCCTAAGCTGAAGGAACTCATCCGCCTGAAAGATGAGCTGATAGCACAGACCAACTCACCGCCAATGTAAGCCGAGTGGCCCCACTCAAAATGGAAATTTTTGGTTCCCATTTCTTTTTGTTGTAGCAGTGTACTTGAACATTCTTAGCCCGTCCGTTTCTAATTTCAATCTCTCTTCCTATTGGTAATTTGGTAGGTACCGTCACTGCGACCTAGAAACCTTTGACCTAGCGGAGTTGAACCACAAGTTTGACGTCATACTGGTTGACCCGCCCCTGGAGGAATACCGTCACCGGCCCGGTGTCATGACCAACCAAAAATTCTGGAGTTGGGACGAGGTAATGTAAAATCAGATCATTAACCTAAGACATGTTGAATTGTAGCCTTTCCAAAACCTTCTAAACTTACCCCTTGCAGAAAACCATTGGCCAGTTTTGCACTCAACCTTCCGATTTTTTTTTAATTAGATCATGCGTCTCGAGATCCCTGCCATAGCCGCCCACCGCTCTTTCATCTTTCTCTGGATCGGGACACTAGAGGGCCTGGATAAGGGGCGGCAGTGCCTGGCCGAGTGGGGCTTCAGGAGATGTGAGGATATCTGCTGGATTAAGACCAATGCCACGAAGCCTGGCAGCGTCAGTCTGGAGACCAATGCCATCCTGCAGAGAACCAAGGTTGGTCTGACACTCTCTAGCGAGACTTTGATACCATATAACGCCACATTAATAATGTCTTACCACATTGACAGTCACAATGATAAAACTTGCGACATTCAAAACGCTGCATATTTATGATTCAAACGATTTGTAAGACAGGAGTTCAAGTCACATTCACTTTTACAAACTACATGTACATTGTACATGTAAATACAGGACTTTTCTAGACAATATCCAAGACTTGATAAACCATTGTATTTGCAATTGTTTTTTCTTCCAATTATAGTTGGAAATAATCAAAATATATTTCTGTTTCACTGTACAGGAGCATTGTCTGATGGGCATCAAGGGCACGGTGCGACGTTCCACCGACGGTGATTTCATCCATGCAAACATCGATCTGGATGTTATCATCACCGAGAACCCAGAGACTGGATCCCTGGATAAACCCGAGGAGATCTTCCACATCATTGAGCACTTCTGCTTGGGACGCAGAAGGCTCCATGTATTTGGTTCTGATAGCACTATTAGACCAGGTAGGCCATAGTTCTCCAGATTTAGAAGGTGTAAGCCAAACACCTTTTGAAATTGTTGGGGTTTTGTTTTGTATTATTTTTTTCCCTGATGCTTACACCATGCAGCTTTTCTTCTACCTGTTAATGGTACGTTGTAGGAACATGTGAAACTTGGTACATGTACAAACATTGACCGTGATCCAAATCGCATAACACTACATGTACAATGTACTTTGTAAATGACTTACATATGACAAAAAAAGAACATTGCAAAAGCTCACAAGGTTTGCCAAACCTCACAAGGCTAGCCAAATCTCGCAAGGCTAATTGTTATAAATGATGCAAGCAACCTCGGTAGTGTCGCTCAAAAAGTCAACAAGAGTACATTCAATTCAAGTACAATGTACGTGTATTGACAAAATTAACCATTCAAGATTAAAGAGCTGGTTGTTGAATTGGATTATTTTTTCCGAGGCTCATAAGTGAAATGGATCCTGTTTTATACTCTTCTTTCTAGGTTGGCTGTCGATAGGACCCAAGGTCACCAACAGCAACTTCGTCAGGGAGACCTACGAGGGCTACTTCAACAAGTCAACGACAGACTTTCTCACGGGCTGCAGCGAGGAGATCGAACGACTCCGCCCCAAATCCCCACCCCCAAAGATCAAAGGAGGGGCAGCTGGGCGCGGCGGACAGGGTGGTAGGGGCGGGAGAGGGGGGCCTGGTGGGGCTCAAGGAGGGTGGCAAGGAGGTGGGAGAGGTGGCGGGTTTGGAGGAAGAGGAAGAGGTGGCGGCCCAGGAAAGGGACGGGGTTTCCAAGGCAGGGGCGGTTTTTAAACACTTTTTTATTCTTGGAATATTAGTTCTGATATTGAATAGTAATGCTGATATTGCTGTTGAATTTGCAGTAACATTGGATGTCATGGTTTCACCTGCTGACTGAGTTGTGATTGAGTGTCGATGGAACTGACTACAATTTCATTTAACAATACACAATTAGACAAAACTATGGATGCATGAACGTACATGTACCATGTTTATGAAAACTCCATAGTATTCATTCCTTTCTGATGATTTCACCTGTTGAAGAAACAAATATGCACTGATGGAGTTGGGGAGGTTAGGCTAATTTTCTTCCATAGAAATGTGTACATTTGTCGAGACTGACGGAAAAACCGTGACCTCGTGCAAACTGCGCTTGTAGTAATCATGCTCGACTGTATATGTGCATGTACACTTACATGAATATCATTTCAGAAATTCGTCAAGGAAGAAATTTGGGATTTATGAAGTTTGTTCAATTGAGGTTGACCTTGCTTCCTGAATACGTTACATACAAATTGAAAGTACCAGCTCAAAGGCACCTGACTATTTTCAGTTATAACTGCAGCAGGTTTTGTGTGTAAACAAAAACATTTGCATTTTGTCTACCAAATTATGGATTATGGACATTAAATAAAAACGATTTAACATGTAAGAGCTTCTTTTCGTTTCATGTTGTCTTTACTGTGTCTTGAAGCTAAAACATTTAAAAGCATCCACACCACTTGTAATATATGTATTTACAATTAATTACAACTTGCGCGTTAAAAAATACAAAGATAAAATATTTATTTACAAATTGTGAGACGTTTAAAACAGAAGTGGAAACAAACGATTTCCTTTAAAGTGACTAGTGTGCTATTTCAACCATTTTCGAATGACTTAAAACCATAAAAAAACATTTGCATACATCAGTCTTTAATTAAATGCATTGGTGCTATATTCATGATAAGTTAAACCCCAACTCCCTAGGGTGATTTACTAGGAACCTTCCTCATCCTTGCAAATTCCAACACCCTGTGCTATTAAACTGTGCACTAAACAGCTGGACTCCACCAAACCCTTGTGTTGGAGTTTGGCTGGTTGGGGATCGTTAGGGTTAATTAATTGTCTAATTTAACAGTGGCGGATCCAGGGGGGGGGGGGGGGGGGGGGAGGGGGCACCGACCTAAATCTCAAGTAAGGCCACTTTTTAACTTGAGAGCGCTCTTCCGGCACCCTCCCCCCCACCCTCCCTTGACAATGTAAACTGCTTTGAGTATACCTAATGAGATAAGCATCAACAGAAAAACTAGTACATCTATACATTAAAAAGAAAGTTGCTAAAAGCCAGATATAATGCAACTTGATTAACAGTATATCTAAGGAATACTCATTTTATCCGAGCAATACTTTCATGATTGTCCAATTCAGCGAGAAGCAGATCATACAAATTTCATTTGCCATCGTTAAAGTATTATGCAATTTATGTCAATCTTGTGACAATTCTGGCAAATTCACACACGCATGTTCTATAAAGAGATACATTGTATATACGTACATGTTAGCTATGAACATTACTGGACCAAAAAAAGCAGACAGGAAAATTTGTGATATCACATTTTTGCCGCAAATGTTGAACACAATTCAACTCGTATTCAAACTCGGTTCACACGTAGTCAAATGAGGTAGGGTTCAAATCTTCAGGGCGCCTTGACGTCGGCGTTGAAGGTCTCTGTCAGGAACTTGTTGTAGTTGATCTTGCCGTCCATCTTCTCGTCAAACTCGGACATGACGTGGTAGACCTCATCCTCGTCCAGTATCGTGTTGCAGAGCCGCAGGACGTTGCGGAACTCCGGCAGGGACAAGTAGCCCGTGTGGCCCAGGTCAATCTTCTTGAAGGCGCGCCGGAGGGTTCTCCAGTCGCCCACCAACTGCAAGACAAAATTTTAAGAAAGATAAATAACAAATTGATGAGGATTTGGAAGAGAATAACTTTGCAGAACCCGCGGGAAAGGTTATCAGACACTAATTTGCCAATCGGAGATGCATAGATCAAGTGTTACTCTCGTGCGATGCCAGTTTCTATGAAATGCAGGAACGGTATATAAGATTATCCCTTCATGCATAACGTACTTGATCTAATCAAGCTTTGTCCATGCAATTTGTGGTAAATATACACTATGCTGAGGGATATATTGGCACCATTTTTACCACATGCTCCTCACTCACTTACCTCTCAGTCAAAAATACTGTTTGCTCTCAATCACTTACAAATTTATGTCACAATTTTGTGAAATTTTCAAAAGGTTGCGTACACATGTATATCCTTTTTTTTTTTTAACTCTTGTCAGGACCTACACCTACTGCACAGAGTCTATAAATATAATGTGTAATACATTCCTCATTTTGATGGTAAAGTCCATCGTACATATCCCAAACCTACTCACCCTCTGTCTGAGTCGTGCCGTGATACCACTCAGCCCCTTGCTCGGTTCATTGACGATTGGAGCAATAGGCACCTCGGCCTGCGGGTGGGTCAGCAATGACAGCATGTTGTTGCCATAGCGATGGGTCTGCTTCCGCATGGCAAATGGTTTCAGAAACTCAACATATGAGACTCTGTAGAACAGAAAGAAAACAGTTGGTTACGACCAAGTAAAAGTTGGACAGAAAACAATAAAACCAATGAACTTGTAAAATTGTACAAATTAATCAACGATCTTTTCTTCTGGCAATTAAAGCAGTGAAATAATACAATGTTTATCTACTTGAACTCACCTGCCGTCATGGTTGATTTCAAATTTACTACTCAGGGCATCAAGCTCATAAGCACTGAGATGCACACAGAGTTCTTGCAAGACATCTCGGAATTCCTCCTTGCTTACAAAGCCGGTACCGTAAACATCCAGACCCAAGAACTCCTTCCTTAGATCATCCCACATGTAATCAACCTACAAAAGAAAATATAAGGATCAAGGGGAAAATGATTCAGATAACAGGTATGGATGATTATACATGTAACTTACTTTCATCCAACACCACATATCTCATACTACGGGATGAGCAAAACATCCGACTATGGAACGAAGGACTTGGACAGCTCTTGAGATATCTTTGTGCTAATAAACCAAAAGAATGCCAAAATGCAAAGTTCACTCTTTCAAAACAGGCACTTATAAAAAGTAAACTAGTTGAATTACAATGATCCTTTAGATTCTAAATACATTGAAGACCTAACTGTACATGAAAAAATGGACAGTTCAGGTTGTAGAAATAAAACAACGAAGATCATATTGTTGCGGTGGGCTGGTATTTTTTTTAAATGTCACCTTTTTTTTGAAGAGTTTCAATAACGGATATCCCAACATGAATATTCACAATTCTCACCTTTGACCTAAGGTTATCCTCAAGCATATCGGCAGCACAGTTGAGCTTCCTCGACCTGATGAGGAAGTCTGAATCCCCTCTCTTGGGCGGGGAGACCTTTGCGTTAGGGAAGGCAGCCGATTTCATGGAGTAGCCAAAATGGCGGATGAACTCCAAGAAGCTGTAGGTTCGGTTCTGGGAGGTGATGAAGGTGTCCCAGAGACGACGGATCTCACCTCTTGTGATCTCCGGCTTCATGTTCAATCTGAGGAAAAGGGGAAACAAAATTAAAATAACTGAAGCTGGACTAGCAAAAAGGCAAAGCAATACTGTTGCAGTGTGTTAAGGGTTAAAACGTCCGCAGAAGCTTACCAACCACCTTCCACACTGTCACCAAAAACTTGAGGTCACAATTTAAGTTAGCTGACAAACTAAGTCACTCCCCCGAATATTTTTTGCCAGCAAATTTAACATCAGAAAAGGGGCTCTCTACTTACTTCTTGAACATTCGGTACATCATCTCTTGCGACATGTGTTTTGAGTTTTGTTCATCTAGTTCACGGAAAGCTTCTTCAACTTCTGTGAAGCGATCACGTAGGAGTGCCTTAACGGCAGCTGAAATCTGCAAAATAACAAGAAAGACCAAAACAAAATTGCAACAAAGAGCATCCCCAATGTTTTAAAGATCTGAACTAATTTTTTTTTTTTTTTAAATTGGGTCTTTAACATGCCTGCATACCTCTTGCACTATTCAGAATTGGTGAAATCGTGACAAAAAAATCTTACTTAAGAAGTAAACTCACTTCTTTGAGAGGTCTCCCCTTTTTGAAATCCTCAAAGTCCATGGCTTCCTCGAAGCTGTCTCTAAGTCCTGGAGGTCCCTGGTCCATGGCCGCACCCTCGGGACTTGAGGACCTGTAGACAGACTTGGTATCCAGAAGACTGGGTGCCACTCCACCCCTACAAGCGAACAATGGAAGAATTGTAATCATTAAGACAAATTTCAATACAAAGACAAAGCCCAAAACAATTTCAAACCAATCACAATGATCCCTAGCATTTGTAAAAGAAAATTACATGCAGAGTGATATGGTTGGGAATGCACAGCAAGATGGAAGCAAGAAACCCATGTAAAATTCTTGAAGACACACATTTTTTTCTAAATGATAATTCTTTTTGGAAGCGGGATGGTCGATGTCTGTATTTTACTCTTTAATGTAGTTATGATTTGGTCTCTTCAGAAATACAAATGTATAGGCACAATTTCAAGGCTTAACTTACCCTAGGCAAAGACACTAAAAGCGTTTGAAGTTGTTTGAAAGTGTAATAACTGTCAAAGATGGCTCTTCTTACCTTGTGTCAAAGTCGGCCATGAAGTCAACGTACTTCACATTTCCCTCATCATCAAGCGGCAAACTGTCTATAAACATTCCAAATTCCTCATCACTCATGTCGACATCATATCGGCTCTGGATGGCCGCACGGAACTCCTGCTGGCTGATCACGTTGGTCCTCAGCTTGTCAATTTTGCTGTTGGAAAATCAAGACAAAGAAATATATAAGAAACTAAATTCACAAATAATAAGTCTAACCATATCACTGATTACTTTACAAAAAAGACCATAATTCTTAAAACAAAAATATTGTCAACTTACTGGAACACACCAAGAAGAGCAAGGAAGTCAGTCTGGAAGAGACCCATCATCTTAGCCTCTGCTGCCGTCACGTTGGTTGCCGCGCCGGGACTGTCGGCTCGCACACTCCGGTTATACCTGAGGAGATCAACAAACAAAACAGAATGATCTTAACAACACTTCTCCAAATTTCTTCAGGCTTCTTCTGATCTACAATGCCTGTTCACATCTCGAGAACACTTGATTTTGTCAACAGACAAAATTTAAAATAAATAAATAAACTTCGCAACAACTAAATTTCAGAAAAAGACTGAAAGAAACGACTCACATATGTTCAGGATTCAGCAGGATCTTGTGCGGCAGACCAGCATCGCTACGATCCTGGAACCGCTGCAGGAAATCAAGGTACGACACGGACCTCGTCTTTGGGTGAACAGCAAGGTTGCAGCGGGACAGAAAGGCATCCAGCTGCAACTTGTCCAATTTGAGGTCGTAGCGCTCAAGAACTTCACGAAACTTGGCCAACTCCACCTAGTTTAATAGTTGGAATTTATATTATTGAAAATCAAAACAAATACAACAATATAAACTTTTTAGTGTTAAAAAATTGTTCTGATTCAAACATCTAAACCTATATCAAGTTTTTGGCATAATGTAGCTCAACTAGACTCCAAAAAGCGGGTCTGTAATTAGGCGCTCAGGGCCTTAATTGCAAATTTGTGCTAATTTTCTTGAGCTGAATCATAAAAGGTTCTTTACCTCTCCCTTCTTCTCGTAGTCATATTTCTCAAAGTCTTTCTTCATCTTGTGGAAACCCTGCCTGAATTTATCCTTCAGCCATCGCTCAATGTCCAGCGACTTGGATCGCTCAACTTCTAGCCGACGAGGCCTCCTAGCTGTATTTTGAAAAGGAAAGAGAGAGCATATTCCGTCAAACAATTGAAAAAAAATACTAAATGAAGATTGTTTTCTCAGTTCAAGAGCTTGCAGCTGAAGAAACATTAAGGAGACAAGAATTTGTCATTTTGAAGAACGAAAACTGTGTTTTTCCCCTTCCTTCAATTTTTTTGTTAAAAAAATATTAAAGGTGGCAAAAGTCATTAAGCAAGCACGATTTCTAACTAAACTTTCCAGGCAAGGAGATAATCAACTTTTCAGATATTGTAGAAACTTCATGGTATTTATTGGATTATTAAATAAAGGCAAACTAATCTTTACTCAAACTGATCTTCGCTTCTTGCCACTTACCTGATCCTCTTGGGCTGAGTTCAGGGCTACCTGCCCCCAATCTGAAGCCGACGCCGTCCCCATCCGGCATGGCTGTTCCCGATCGCAGACTGATACCCAATTTGTTCATCAGTCGCTCTCCCTTGATAACGCCCAGTCCATCTGTGTCATACCTGGATGAACAATTACAAAAATGTAAATTTGACAAATGTTTGAACTTGAATATGTTGTCTTCAAAAAGGTTGACTAAAACATAATACCCATTCTAACAAAAACTAACTGATCTATAGTTTGTTTTTTCTGGGGCATCAAGTTAAGTATTTCCAACTATAAGAAGTGGTCCACTGCCACTGTGTTACCTAAAAGAAGAAAGCTTTTTGGTGCCATAAAAAGAACTAGCTCCCATACCTGCTCCATAGTTTCTCAAACTCATCCTCATCCATGAAGAATAGCATTTTGTTGAGGACGTTCCTGAACTCTGGTTTGAGGATGCGGCCGGTGCCCCCAGGGTTCATCTGTGGGATCATCTCGGCAACATCCACAAATCTAAATCAATTTGACAATCAGAAGAGAAATGAGGGTTAAGATACAGCAAAAACTACAACAAAAAGCCTCTTAGATGATGCTCAGCATGATTCAAACTGGATTGCAATCAACTCTTTTCAACTTAGATTTCGATGGGGTGGGGGAGGGTCAACCCACCTTTGTCTAGCTTTCTCCTTCAGCTGCGCATGGACCTGTGTGGCGCTCATCGTGATCTTGTCACCAGGCCCTCTGTTGACGGGATCCATCCAGGCTGGCATCTCATTCCGAGTGACCGTTTCTCTCAAGCAGGCATAAAACTCCTCCAGTTTGATGACTTTGTGCTCATGGAGACGAAATCTGAGAAAACAGAACATATCTTTAAGCCAACATGCTTTTGAAGTTGGTTTTCAAACAATGAAGGTTTTGCTGTTGATGGTTTTTATAAATATTAAAAAAGTCTTCGGGTTTGACTTTTTTTTCTTAAACTGTTCAGCTGTTGTTGTCATGAATTTGTTTGTGACGAAATTTCTAACATATTATAAAGAAACTTGGCACATCTGAGAGACTACTTTTAATGAAGCGTTTGACACAAATGAATGTAACCTTTCCAAAAAAGACAGCGTTTAGCTAGAATATCTCCTGTTTCAATCTTAACTTTATTATGTTGTAGGAACTGGTGGTCACAACAGAATTATTTATTCTTATAATATTAAACTTTCCATTCAGCTGTAAGTTTTTCCTTTCCAGGAAGAACTCCTGTTGTTCTGTTTACCAAAATGCTGGCCTTCTGAAGTTAGGGAGAAAAAATGGTTTAACTTCCATATACCTCAGATTTTAGGGGGAAAAATAATTAAACTTTCATATACCTTGCCAGAAGAGCGTTGAACTGTTTTGTACTGATGAAGCGACCAGCATATGTGATCAGGATACGATTGAGAGCTTCCCGACTGACAATGCCTCGGCCTTCTGGGTCGTTTGAGACAAAGAGCTTCCTCAGCTCAAAGTAGGACTTCTTGACCTTCTCACGGAGTATCATCTCAATCTGTGAAATAAAAAGGACATTTTTTGATGAAATAAGGTCAGAGAATATTTAATTAATCAGTGTGATCTTGATAAAATCATTTACACTCGACCAACATGTCAACAATATCATTTACTCTTTAGTGAACATAATTTATTGTCCACTGGCATGTTTGACTATACAATGTATGATATTGGTGGCAGAAGTGGGATTACCATCATGCTATATTCATTGGTTTATTAGCTCTCACCTCATCAACTTCAAGTCTGACTCTTGTTTCTGGTCTGGACATACGTGATGCCACGCTGACAGCACGGTTGTCTGCCCGACTTGCCAAATCAGCCCGGGAACCTGAACAAAATAAAACATGAAATTATTAGAACTAGCAATTTAGAAATGTGTCCCGAAAAATAGATTAACACAATATAGGCTACATGTAGATGGGAGATCAGTTAATGTTCAAACAAAATTAGACAAAGTTACATTATATGAACAAAAGACATTATGAACTCTTAGTTTATTCATTTGAAAATGTTCCTTGCGCAACTATTGAAAACCAAAACTGCAAAATTAATCATTGAATCACCTGATGGAAGGCCCATTTATTCCCTTCCATAAATACCATTTATGTCATTCTTTACTGAAAAGCACAATATTTTTCTTCCATGATAAGAAAAGTATTCACAAATTTATCTAATGTTGACTCAACTATCAAACGTTATACCCACTCCCCTTTTGGTGATCTCAAGTCAAACAATGATAAAGCGATTACAAATGAACATATGTAAAACCAATTGTCTACATCGGAGGGAAAAGCTGCTTTACTTAAAGCAAACACTGCTCATCCGATTGTTTTCACAGTTTTTTAATCAACCAAGCTAGTTAAATGTCCCCCTCTGATGATTTCAAATAAAAAGCCGCAATCTCTCTGAGTGATCCTAAACCTCTCTATATATTTTCAGTTTGCAGCATTACTACTAACTATAGACTTTATGCAGGAGTCGGCCATATTGAATTTAAAGTGGGGTAAACTCCTTATTTGTGGAAGTTGTGGGTAGAAATGAAAGCAATGAAATAAAAGTTCATTACAAATAAATTACCAGTCTGCTCTTATGAATTTTTAAAAATTTGTGATTAAACACACCCTAAAGATTTAAGCCACGTTTAAAACAAAAAAATTGAGGCTTGGAATGCACTCCAAGCATAAAATAGTCTGGCACCATCCCATTCAACAATATTCAATTTATAAAGAAGATTCAGGGACCATGTTGTTGAAGCATGTTATGTTGTTTTTCTTCTAATAAACAATTGAATATAATATGATGGTAATCCCACTTCTGCCACCAATATCATACATTGCATGGTCAAGCCAGTTTCATAACCATGCATAAGTGGCACCTTTTTCAAATGTATATGTCGCGTCTTGGCAATAAACTCATTTCAAATTATGCATTTGCTTCTCCAGTCAAGTGTGTGAAAATCGCATGTTCCAGCTGCAATTAACATTTGACAAAGTGGCTGACCGTTGCCCAAACTAATTAAATGCCTGAGCTAATATTTCACCTGCCATCGACAGGTGAATTTCCGAGTGTGTAGTGTGTAAATTTCAAGGTGCATGCCTACAGAAAAATCAATGCAGTCATTAGCACAGACCATGATCGAGTGGCCCTTTTGGCAATAAAGAGTGGACAATACTCCTGCAGGGTGTTTCGCTGAATGAGTCCGAGTGCTTGAGAGATTGCCAAGCGATTGTCAAAAGCTAGCGTGGAAATATTGAACCAGACTGTTGATTTTGTGACACTCACGGAGGGGAAATTGCCTCTGCCTTTTATTAGCAAGTTGTTTTTTTATAATGTGGTATGAATAAAAACTCTCATTGGTGCTGTCTCTGCAGTCAATGTAGCCCAGAACAAGAGACTGAAAATGGTAAATGCTATTTGTGTATATCTAATTGCATCAAAGGTTTCGTCTAAAATTTGATTAAAAGACATACATTATAAAAAAAAAAAATAGTAAATAAATAAAAACTTCTACAAATTCACCAATCTTTTTCTAATATTCTATTTTAACTCAAATTCTCAGTTTTAGGCCTATCTATTAGAAAAGATACCTTACTTAGACTGCATTTCACATTTCAATTTTGTTTGGTTAAGGGACACATTTGTTTGTGTTGGTAAATCAACTTGATGTTTAAAAACACTTGTTTCAAGGAAGGAAGAACAAAACAGTTACAGAAAATGTTTCAAACTTTAGATACAGTACAGATAACTAACTGCAATGTTCAAAGCAGGAGCTGAATGTGTCAACTGACAAATATAAATTGCTTCACGTATCACAAAACATGGTTCTTGAATTTTTTTTTTCAACAAAACGTAATTTATATTGACCTGTCTGTGTCCTTATCACTTCAAACAACCAGTAGGCTTAAAGTTCGATGGGTCCATTTTGTTCAATGAATACAGAACTGGTATCCTGAGTAACATTCAAAAGAAACCTATCATGAAATAGAACTTCAACTATTACCCCCAACTCCCTAGGGGGTATGCAAAATCGTGTTAAAATTGGAGGATTCAGGACTGTTAGGGCTATAGCTATTTTCTTTTCAAACTAAGCAATCATAATAAACAGGATGAATATTCTCAGGGTATTATTCAATTAAGTTAAAAGAAATTAATAATTTTCACTAAATAAAATTTCTATAACATTAAAACACTACCCAGACTCCACACGGTTTGTTGTAAATTGATTGAAATGTCTGTTTCCAAGGTATGTTTCAAACATTCTTAAAAACAATTTTGCAGTGACTGACGATGAGCACGGTTACAAACTGTGGAATCGGAGCGTGGAATCAAGATACTGTATTCTTGCAATATTTGCAATGACAAATCAATTTACAGATTAATTAATTGATGAAAAAAAAATAGTTGGCTACAAGATTATCCTTTATAGTTCTAATTGAGAAAACAGGAATTTATGGGCAAGAATCTTACCGAAAACTGGAAGTCTTGTCTTGGTCTGATCCTCAGCTTCCATGACCTCCACTCCCTCGGGAATGTTGGCGAAGGGCCGGGGGATCCTGGGGAGCGATCGGCGGGCCGCCTCGCCGGCACTCATGGCCCCGGCAGAGAGGGACAGACGGGGTGCCGCGAAGCTCATCTGGGGCTCGTTGACGGGGTTGCTGAAGGGCCGATGGCCCTGCTGGCTGGAAAGGCCGCGGACATTGAGTTTATCCGGGTTGCCGAGGCGGGACAACGGGTGTTGGATCTCGGGAAGATTGGGCCCTCCGTGGCTGGACTTCGGGGCGACGTTCAAGACCGAAGCCGGCCGGGAAATAACAGCTTGTGACATCGTGGATCGGTCACTTTCCGTACCGCATCAATTTCCAACTCACAAAACTTCCAATATTCGTAAACACTCTCTTTCCCTCACAACTTCACAAATTCTGTCAGAAATCTTTGAAAATGGACATGTATACGTTGCTAACCACGGTAAAGCCTAAACACACGCCGTACTAGTTATTTGGATTTTTGTCGTGTGCATGCCAGGCGGTTTATCGGTGGATTGTGTACAACCGAGTCATCACCACGACGGTGGTTGTTACGGGCAACGGGACCCTATTGATATTTAAATGAACCATGGGTGCAGCGCTCGGTGCTCGGCGCTCAGAGGGGGTCAAAAGCCACACGAAATAAAAGTTATGTTTTCGTACGGAAATTTAGAGAAAGGATACCCACTGGATTGTTCACTTATTGTGGGATTATTGCCGTTAAATAATGCATTGAAAAGAATTTCATGTATCATTTACCAGAATGAAAACATTTAAAGCCCAAGAATTTGAGAAAATAAAGTATCAAACGTAATCTTTTAATACTCATATTTTTGCCCAAAGCATGACTGACAAACAAGAGTTTTTTTCGCCCAAGCATTTGTTACCGTGTTTGCCAAGCAATAACCCCCATCTAAATTACATTACACCGAGTTATATCGTCATGGTTTGTTTGACCCCAGCGAGAGCGTTCAGTAATAAATAAACGCATCGAAGCGGAGAATTAGTCTGTGTTTATAGCGCAGTGGTGATTCGATATGCTGATGTACACAACAAATGTCTAGCCAGCTACTGTTTCCCCTTCAGGGTATCAAATTAAAAAGGTGTGAATATTGTCTGCAAAGGTACGGTTTGAGTTTTACGCCACTGGCGATAAGTGGTGTACTAAATACTTTGGATCGAAAGTAGACAAATTTAGGTTAGAATTTTGTTTTAAGGTGTTATACAGTTCTTTGTTGAAGGTGAGAAGCACATGAGTTACCTTGCACGAAAATCACTTCGAAATGCACCAACAAACCTGGATCAAGGCAAGAAATCCAATCCAAACAGAAAACTTAAGATAAGCACAATCAGGCAAGGCGTAATTTAATCAACTGAAATGCAATTTAAAAAAAAATGCAGTTTACAGTACCTGAATTCAGAAAAATAATACAGATAAAAATGCAACAAAATGATACAAATTCAAATTTAAATTCTGTCAGGATGCCAAACTCAGGCATTCTACATGTAGGTTAAAGAAGCCCCCCCCCCCCCAACAAAAAAAAAATAAATAAATACAAATGTAAATAAAAAATAAATAAAAAAATTGACCTAGTTTAAAAATCAGTAGCCACAGGAACTACTTAAATTAAAATAATAATAATGTCAACAAAAACATACAAATAAGGTAAACCCCAAAGAAGAAAATGTTTGTTAACTCACAGGCCAGATGGGAGAAGCATCATTCACTAATTAGATTCAACAGATTAATTGGCTATTAATCAAGGCACCATAAAGAAATTTTAAAGAAATTATATAGGCATGAATTTTATCAAACAATTGTTAGGGGAGTCAGGTACGCTTTGCAGTACTTTCCTCGCCTTCCACTGCTGTTACCTGGGTTCGAATCCCGCCTGGGCCAATATGTGGATTGAGTTTTCAGTCCCTACCTGATTGTGTGGGTTTTCCATAGAATATCATTCTGGGGTTCCCCCACCTCTAATACTGTAATTTCTTCTCGTCTTCTCTGTCATGACATATTTCTTCAGGCTTGCGAGCTACATGCCTATGGCACTTTTGAGGGATCCTTTGTTACATTACCAGAAATGAATTATAATTATAATAATAGTAATAACAATGTACTTTTAATCTAGCCAAGTAATCAATTTTATTCAACAGCCCAATAGCCATTGTTTCTTAAATCAAAGATTTGATATTTCCCCCCCCCCCCATCCCCCAATTTTTTGGGGCATATAACTGGATGTTCTTTTCAATAGACCTGTCTTGATTATAATTAGCATGACCCATCTTCCACTGTTTTAAAAATTTTGACCTCAATTCTTAGGCATTCCGTTTCTCAAAAATTAATTTCTACGAATTTGTTTTTGACTATTTTTTTGGCTAAAATAATCAGTTTTCTGATATGACCATGGAATATAAGCCGCTAAAAGTAAAGTAAAAACATAATCTGCAAAGTCGAAATTTGCCAATAAAACATGCATGTTTAATTACTTGAATATTTAGTTATTATATTATCAGGGCTCAATTTCACACCGCTGCTTAACAGCCGATTTTGTGCTTACCGAACCTCCACCTATTTCATAGAGACCTAAACAGTAAGCACAGAAAAAACACTCTTAACCCTAGAGGAATAAGTTGCTGAAATCAGTGATGTAGCAATAGAAATCGCCATGCCAAGCAACAGTTGGCACATCATGCACGCCATGAGATAGTCCTTAAGCAGCAGCATGATTTTCTGCTATAGTAAGCACAACTTTTCCGCTAATTGTTAACCAGTTCACGCCGGGTTTATTTTGACAAGAACGGAACGAGGCGCGGGATTACTTATCACTCGAACCTCAAGCCAGGCGGGTTGAAGCTATCACCTTGGACAGCACACTCATATTTCCAGCCTCACTCGCTGCGAGCGGGTCGCTGCAGATATTTCCGGCCTTGCTCCCGCGTGTTAAATCTGTCATCTGTTCCAAATACCGCAAAACATTTGCATGTAAACACGGCCTCTGGTGCAAACTGGTTAAGCAGCGCTATGAAATTGTGCCTTGATCTTTAAGCTCTACATAATCAGCCTACTTTACATGCATTTTCTAATTTTCCTTCCAAATGACAGACACGGCCATCTTAACTCACAATTGACATTAGTTACAAATTAAATTATTCAATAAAATTAAAGTCTCTGATTTTGTTTTTGTTTTTTTACATTCTGTACACAGCTTTTCAAAAGCAGAAAATACTAACAATGCTGTACATACTGAAAGGGCATTTGGTAAAATATGAAAATAAACACACACCCTGGGAGACTATAGGCATATCACTAAATACGTTAAATACATGAATTTTTCTGCTACAACATATTTTGCAATATTTTGCACTACATCATTTAGCATCCCATCATAGAAATTTGAGATTTTGTTCTCATACCTACTTCCTAAGCTTATTTCTTTTTTCGGACAAAACAACCAAAATTAAGAACTACATATTTCATGTTCAATACTGTATTAGGTTTTGCCCTTTACTGATGTATTTTTCATAAAAACTGTATAATCAGTGTTGCCCCAGAGTGATTGTGAGAAGAACTCACTCGGGTGGGACTCGAACCCACGACCTCATGCTTACTAGTGCAGACGTCTTACAACTCGATCACCGAGCTTGCCTGGGCTGGCTGGCTCGATCACCGAGCTTGCCGGGGCTGGCTGGCTGGGTCGAATCTGATATAGGACAGACGGCGAAGGGCAGAACCCAATATTGAATGTACATGCACATCACCTAGACGCAAATTCCATTTATGAATAATATTTCATGTTGTTCAATTAAAGGCAATTATGGCACACGGAATCAAGGAAATAAATTCCAACTTTACAACTAACCTGCTGCTGTATGTTACACGTGCATTTCTTGCAAGCACCTGCTGTTAAAAAAACCAGGGGGCACCATGAATTTAAAAAAAAAGGGTTGTATGCCTTACAACATTTTAAGCAAGGTTTGGAGTTTCACAACTGCTCTAGGCAAAATTTGGGTACATGAAAGATGATGGAATTCCTTCCAAAGATAAAATCTTGTTAGTCCTTTGAACAAAAAAATGTGTATAACCTTTTTTTTCAGCCAGCTTGAACTACAGATATATGCAGGAATGCAATACTGATGATTTGCTTTGCATTGTTTACATATTTACGCTTTCTGGAATTTATACACATCACTCTTCACAGAGTGAATTTCTTTTTTACTGGAACATCACAAAACACAGCCTGCAGAATATTTACATCAACTGCCACGTTGGGGACTAGCACACTAAAGAAATGAAACTGAACCCTTTCTTGTGTTAACCCATTGTCCCTGTACAAGCCCAAACTACCCTGCCTGTTATTCCCTGTACCACCCCAAACTGCCCTACCTGTTACTCCCTGTACCACCCCAAACCTCCCTGCCAGTTACTCCCTGTACCACCCCAAACCGCCCTGCCTGTTACTCCCTGTACTGCCCCAAACTGCCCTGCCTGTTACTCCCTGTACCACCCCAAACCGCCCTGCCTGTTACTCCCTGTACTGCCCCAAACTGCCCTGCCTGTTACTCCCTGTACCACCCCAAACCGCCCTGCCAGTTACTCCCTGTACCACCCCAAACCGCCCTGCCTGTTACTCCCTGTACTGCCCCAAACTGCCCTGCCTGTTACTCCCTGTACCACCCCAAACCGCCCTGCCAGTTACTCCCTGTACCACCCCAAACCGCCCTGCCTGTTACTGCCTGTACTGCCCTTAACTGCCCTGCCTGTTACTCCCTGTACCACCCCAAACCGCCCTGCCAGTTACTCCCTGTACCACCCCAAACTGCCCTGCCTGTTACTGCCTGTACCACCCCAAACTGCCCTGCCTGTTACTTCTTATACCACTCCAAACCATCCTGCCTGTTATTCCCTGTACCACCCCAAACTGCCCTGCCTGTTACTGCCTGTACTGCCCCAAACTGCCCTGCCTGTTTCTCCTTATACCGCCCCAAACCGCCTGAGCACTCTATGGTTTTATGGATTCTTCAAGGAATAAATACAATGTAATAAATACAATGTAATACAATACGTACCATTTCATGATATGGGGAGATGTAACATATAATACACAGCTATACAGTTAATTGTTTGGAACACACAACACTTAGCAGCACCACCATCGGACGTTACACACTACGATACCGAATAGCGTTGTAGGAGTTGCTCGTGACACCGGTCGCAGCAGCGTACCGGTTTGGCAAATGCTGGCAGGGGCATGACGTTCTCCGAGCACGCACTGCAGAAGATTCCTCCGCAGTTGCGACAGTGATGCTATTTGGAAGGGGGGAAAAAGGCCATTCAAAAATATGGTTTTGCTTGAACTGTGAAACTGAATTTCTTACAGTTCACTTGTTCAAACAAAATTTAAAATGATCTCCAACACAAAACCGAGGTTTTTGAGATGGAAAAATCATCAGCTTTCATTTTTAAGAGTTCTCAATTGTTAAATGCTTTATTTCCAAACAATGTTAAAATTGTTGAAACTCTTTCCAAAAATGATAAAATTACAAATTCTGAAGAAATTTACCTTTCTCCGCGCGACAGAGAATGCTTTCTCACACTGCATGCAGGTAGTTATCTCCTTGTCATCGGCCCACACCCTCTTGTCCAGGGACTGTACGGCTTCCTGCATGCCCTCCATTTTCAACCTTGATCTTAAAAAAAAATACAGTGGAATGCAATAATGTTTTCGTCCAAAACAATTCTCCGGACTTTCTCATCAAAGCGAAATGGTCACTTACTTGTCACCCTGGCAAGTCCCCCTATCCCACTCTCCGCTCCCCTTCCTCACCTCCTCCCCCTCCCCGGACTTACTCGCTGAGTTTATCCCCCATCTCAATCAGCGCCTGCTCCTGCCCTGTGCATTCCTCCCTCAGCCTCTCATGTTTGCTGGTCACTTCGGCAAGTTCTTCTTGGAGTTTCCTGGCGTCTTGCATCTGCTTCTGCAGCTGGAGTACTAGCTCCTTCTCTTTACCTAGATCCTTCTGGAGGGAGGATCGCCACTCCCTCTCGATCTTCAGGTCTGTCTCCAGCGCAGCACTGGAGATAGAGGATATCGAAATGAAAATCTTATTAAAGTGTCTTGCCCAAGAACACAAGCACTATGAATCCCGTGTGTCAAAACACTGTCCAACATGGTCAGTTTATCAAAGTTAAGATTTGATTGTGTAAAATAAAACAAATATAAATCATAAATGTTAAGGTTGATTATTTAGACATGAAACGGCTACTTGGGAGGGTTCTGATGATGCAGCATTGCTTCTTGCCGTACACATACACATAGGGTGTCAGAGGCTTACCGCTTGGCGTCTCTCTCCGCTATTTGCTGTCCCAACTTTCTGGAGGTTTCCACGGCAGCCTGCCGCTCTTTTTCAGCTTGCTTCAGTCTGTGGGGAGCATGCGGGGTCATGTGACCACAACAAACGGGACGAGAGCAAGCAAGTCACGGACACCAACAGCCACACGATTTACAAGGGGGTACAGAATGGAAGGGAGGGGGAAAAAATAAAAATAAAACCAAAAAGTGAGATATTTAAAGAAAAGATGGGATGTTTTCAGCAGGCACGGATGCAAGGCACATGAAGATAGTTTGGATGATGGTGTGTATTATTGAATAACGGTAAGGGATAGAATACGACCCAGTATTTTATAATTTCATAAAATTGATATTTCAATTGAAAAATTAATAGACTTAATATTGATAATGGGACAAGCATGCAATACAGCACAAATTATAGTTTCAACAAAAAACACAACAGGAATTTGTGATAAACCATAATTTGGCAAATACAAATTTGTGCTCGTGAATAGGAAATATCTTTGACCTACCTGAAGACAATAGCTATGTTCACGCCATGTGTTTAAACAATGGACCCCGATGAGTACGTCACATGACACTATCTACAGCCAATCTGGCTGTTTGCCAACTGATTTCCCTAGTGACTGCAAGACTAGAGAGGGCGCTATACTGACCTTTCCTCCATCTGGGTAATGGTCACTCCCATCTGCTCTGTCTTCTCCTCAAGCTTGCCGACAAGATCCGCCTTGTGCTGAAGAGAACCTTCTGTTGACTGCGAATAATCGAAGTCAAGTGTAAAGATGCATTAGATCAGCTGGAATAAACATAATAGGAATAACTTCTATGGGCTTTGTGCGCGAACAAGAGAGGGCAGTTTCGAAAGCCCCATGGATGGGCCAGACCGGGTGCGCGTACTGGTCCTCGCGCCTTTAACACAAAGTATGCATGACTAATTGTGTTCTGAATGTGCGCAAGGCAATAGCGTCTTCGCGTGCACGTCAGGCGTCTTCGGCAATACGTTCAAATGTCTATCCCAGTGGTCTTCCCCAACTCTCCTTTTGTTACCGTTGAGGGAGCACTTGTGCACAGAGCCCATACAGCTTTAAACTTTGTACAAGTACCTGTAGCCTGTTGTAGAGGTCTATGTTAATTGTCTTGATGTCTTCGAGCTGCTTGCGTAGTGAGACGACAGTGTCTTGTTTCTCGTGGATGTCCTTCTCTAGTAGCCTCATGGCCATCTCCATCTCTGACTTCAAGCTCAGTTGCAACTTCAGCTCCTGCTCGATGTCCTGATTGGTCCAAAGTAACAACATGCATATTCATGACTTGAATATCAATTTACATGTACATGAAAGATCAATTATCAAAAGAATTCCGTTTCCACGTCCTGATTGGTTTGAAGTAGCAATATGCATATTCATATTGGTTGGTTGGTTGGTGGGGGAAGAGGTTTGCGGCTCCCAAAATATGCCAAAATATTTTGTCCAAAATATTCACAAAAAGTTGTCTGATAACTTAAAGGTAATATACAACATTTGCTTTTGCTGTAATTTTCAGAATGGATGGATTTGGGGTTAGTATTTTATAGCAAATATTTTTACACTGACCTCCTGAAAGTTTTGTGTTCAAAGATGCTAGAAAAACCAAGAAAAAGTGCTGTTCTTGAAGTCTGGTTCCCTGACTCTTCTTTAGATCAATTTATAGACTCTGAGGATTGTCATGTCAGGGAACCAGACTAGCTGGCTTGCACCCATTCACAGATGCGTAACCGATTACACAAACAAAATGTGGACTAACTAAATTTGGCAAATTGGGGGCAGTATATGAAAAAAGTCAGGAAACTGTAAACTAGCTCTGCGCCCATTTGAAATACGCGGGGACGCACTGAAAACAGACGTAGCCGTAGCTCTGGAAGTCCATTTCGGATGCGGCCTATAATACTTTAGTAGTTTTATTTTTGGTGTTTGCAAATGATGTATTTGCGTTTGTTCACCTGTCTGACTTGAGCCTCCTGTTGTAGTTTATCCTTAGCCTCACCGTATAACTCATTCAGACCAATCCTTGATGTGTTGTAGGTTTCTCTCTCCACGTCCATGTCTGCCCTCACCATCTTTATAAGGGAAAACAATTAATGAACAACAGATGTTAACTTAATAATGCCTCGAACCAAAATTATTCAAAAGTCTGTCTACGCACACCATATTACCTGCAACTTTCGCTGGACTTCATTCTTCATGGCGTTATTTTCCACAGTTAGTCTATCGTTTTCAGCTTGGATGGACAGGATGTTGTTGTTTGCTACAGCCAGCTAGACAGAAGATTGGAAAGGATTCTCTCATTATTTACTGAGCCTAAAATGTTGTACAAGCCGAGTCACAGTACACAAATATTGAATGTTTATGAGTGCAATGGTGAGAATAATTTCATGAGGCGACAGGAACATTCCATCTGTCACCGAATGAAATTATTCTTTCCATTGCACGAATGAGAAACATTCATTATTTGTCTCATACAACACCTGCAGATCCTCGTCATCTGATTGGTCTTTTTTGCCGTGCAATGGAAGTTCTATTTAGAACTTCTATTTTTGCGATGCCGTGGCAGTGGGATGGTACGAACAATTCCATGACATGTGATCAACGACCCACCAATTAGATGACAGGGATTTATCAGTCAGGCATTACATACAATTGAATAATGTCTTGTGAAATTGGCTTCAGTTTAAACTCGTTTTTTCCTACCTCTTCTTTGGTTTGATTGCTCGCCTGTTCCAGGGTTTTGATCTTTGCTTGCAGGACACTGACTTGGGAGGCAAGGTGTCGGTTGTGCTCCTCCAGATAGTTCTTCTGATCCAGCACTGCTGTCAAGTTGACTTCTGACAACTCACCACTGATGAAACAAAAATGAAGTTTAAAATAATTCATGTTAATAACTATTTTTAAGTTATACCACAAAATTGTTTACACTTGAAAAGCCCTGAAGCTTAACACAATTTTTTTCAGTAAACTGTGTAGTAGTTCCAGGTCGATTAGGAATGTGAGAAACAAATGTTGGCATTTTATTTTGAGACAACTGTGATATTTTCTATTACTACACCTCATGCATATTCATGATCAAATTGGAGCACGTTACTGGCCGATTCCGCCGCACGCCCGGGAAGTAAAAATGATATGTACCCAGCTTGACAACATCCCTCTGCTTCGCGTCGGGAGGTATATTTGTAGTCCAGCTGACCTGCACGGAGGGACCAGTAATTCCCACTACTTCCCCTCAAACCATGCTATATTTGTATATCACCGCGCTACATGTACTTACCTGGAGCTTTCTTGTGGCTTTTCCAGATAGTTGCCATCTTTCAAGTACATACTGAAGTCAATGACAGAGGCGGCGGAGTCTAAATCATCCCCCTTCAGGCACAGGTTACAGTCAATGACATTCAGGCCAACCAGTAAGCCTGCTATGACCGCTGCTTCTTCCTCTAGTAGCAAAGCACCAGGCTCATACCACTCACTGGGTAGGGAATAGTGTACAAAATATTGACCGCTATTATAAGGGGTATAGTAGTACAAACCAACACCATTTTTTTTTTTGTACAGAACCAGGCTCGCACCACTCTCAAGGGAGGAAATAGTGTACCAAATATTGACTGCTATGGCGAGGGGTATAGTAGTAAACCTCAAATACGCCATGCTTTTTTCTCTAGTAGCAAAGCACCGGGGACCATTTCACTCACCAGGGAAGGGATATAGTGCCAAATATTGACCGCTATGATGAGGGGTATAGTAGTAAACTTCAAGAACACTGTGCCAGTGCTCTACATCTTATAACTGAGCTGCACGTATCTAGCCCTATGATATAGCCTTCCAATTTGTTAATTGATGTATCTGTTTGTGGGGAACTAGGGGTGAATATTGTACAAAATACTGACTGCTATGATGAGGGGTATAGTAGTAAACCTCCAGAACATCCTGCCACCAGTGCTCTACTACATGTAACTGAGTTATCTAGCCAAATGATAACAGCTTCCTAATTAATTTTGTCAACATATTTATTTGGGGGGCATTAGTCAGAGGCCATAATCCTGTAGCATCCAAAGTCACTATGCTAAATGAATGAAGCTGCAAACCTGGGAAAAAGCAGTCAGGAGTCACTCAGAAAGGAAACAACTTTATTAAAATTCGTTCTGATTGCAGTATATTTGAGTCCAAATTCACTTGAAAATTTTTCAACACAGACATACAGGTACTTACATTTTAAACATGCCTTACCTTAATAAATCTTTTCTTTCTAAAAGAGCCTTGAAGTAATCCGCAAGATTCTTCTGCATGAGAGCTAACCTGAGCCAAGCTCGACCCCGCCCAAGACTGGTTCTGCAGAAGAAAAAAAATCAAATCAGAACAAATTCATGAATTTTTCCAACTTGGAAGTTTTTACAAAAAGAAGTTACTATTTCGGATATTCCTTTCATCCACGAATCTTTTTTTTTAAAAGTTTTCCATTCACTGGGGGAACTAGTCAAACTACATTTAGCTCTAAACTTACTTATTTCTCAACAATGAAAATAAATTTGGGTTCATCAATGCAGTTAAGTGGAAATTTCATCACGGAAATACAGTATAAAGTACACGTAACTAAACTCACAAAAATGAAGAAAAAAAATTGCAAAATGTCATGTAACTTTAACACCAAACATGTATTTGTACATGGTCATGTTACCCTACGAACAAACATTAAATCCAGCCGGTGTCACATTTTATTGTTAACAGTGTAGCGCTTCTCAAGTTACTTGTAATGAAATCACAATGATCCAATATTACGAAATGTGAAGCACATCGCCTGCGTGCATGACACCTGCAAACCACTTGTTTTTGCAATCGTTGCACTGGAGATCAGGTTGCATATTTTGTAACACATGAAACTCAATCCAGTGGCAACAATAAATGTTGTTTTGACATTGCTTAAATTGCTTAAGCCTTAGGGAGGCAGGTGTAATTTGGATTTCATGACTTGTAATACATGTATGTTACTTTCAGACTAGAGTACTCATACACATACCCATATTCTATACCATACTGTACGCTCCAAATACCGTATATATGCTGTCCACCCCTACTCAAACTTATTGCAAGTTTGTTATGTATTATAAAAAAAATTCTCATAAGGCCAAAAAAAAAAAGTCTCCAGTTTCTGGTATGCGCGCGCGTCGCCGTAGCCATGCGCGTCGGCAAAATGAAAAAGTTTTTTTTTCAATGAAAGATGATGTCTCAAAACCGCCAAACTCACTGGTTTGATTGGAATTCTGCTGCTGCGCAATTTCAACGTGTTTTTAGATGGGGTTATGATCGAGAATAAGCTTTATGTGGCCTCTCTGGACTCTCATATATTTGCACTATGTTTAGTCGAGCACCATTTGCAGTCATCAGCCGACATTTGAAGCAAAAAAGTCGGGTAAAAAAAAAAAAAAAAGCCGCGTCGCCGCACCACTTTTTGGACAAGCTCCATACCAGAAACCGGAGACTTTTTTTGGGGGGCCTAATCAAAGACGTTTTTTTTCGTAGTTGTATTAAATATCGAGGATATATATATATATACATCACTTAAGTTAAATATCACATTTGATTATCATTATTTGAACATCCCGTTGCCAGATCCAATGCAGCTGCATAGTTTAATGACACATTATGCTGTATTGAGTATCAATCATTGAGAAATGACAAACATCATCAACTCACTTGATTCCTGGCAAGTTTCGGACACTGTCGGTAATTTCTTCCGCTTCTGACATGGTCTTTTCTAGGCTTTCCAGAGCACCCCAAAACGACTTCTTCTTGTCAAGGAAGGTCTTTTTAGCTGACAAGGAAAACAGGAAGAGATAACAATTTTAACTAAGATGGACAAGAAAACGGCTGAATTATTCACTTTCTCATAATAAAAACAAAGGCCTGATATGTCATTAGGTCAAATTTTATTAATGACAAAAATTTAACATTTCCAACTTAATAATAATTTGGGGGCTCAATGCTCATCATATGCTCTTAGCTGAGAAGCTGAATTACTAAGGACGCAGCTACAACATGGTCGAGCCCAAGGCATGTAAGGCACCTTAGACTGCCGCCATACGACCAATGTCTGACCACGGAGCACAGCCACAGAGCGAAAGTGTTGATTTTCGTGGAGGGACTCCCTGAAAACCAGACAGCCCAGAGAAAAACCCTCGTGGCACAGGAGAGAATCAACAAGCAACTCTATTCACATACGGTCCGAGCCGGGAATCGAACCCAGGCCGCACTTTACGCTCTAAAAACCCATGCCACATTGTGTTAAGCATAACGTTAGTACACTTAGTAATTATTGTGTTAACCCTAACTCCCTAGCGTCTTCTACATGTACAAGGAACTGGACCAGGTTTATCAAAATTCATCAATCACTGGGCGTCCAATACAAAACTGTACATGACATAATGGAATCCACCAATGACGCACTGGTTGACATTCATGGGCTTGCTAAACATGGCTTTTATCACAATAGCAGTACAGGAAGCTAGGCACAATCAATCGGATACCCCTAGCCCTGCTTCAGGCCATTAGGCCCAAGTCCATCATACTCCATCAATATTTAGTCACGCCAGGCCTTCTGGACCAAGTCCCCCAAAATCCACCAAAATGGAGGGGGATGGATTTTGATGGAGTTGGGGTGGTTAGGGTTAAGCATAGTACACTCTGTGCTTTCTGGTCTCTGCACACAGACTAACTCAAACCTCCACCACCCTTACAGTAAAGTCCCCTACCCTATAACTTGTCTAAAGCTGCCATTTTTAATTCATTCCCCATTGAAAATCTCAGTGAGCCCACCCGTACATGCTTACATTTTAATCCATGGCTGAGAATGTGCTCCATGACGACGAAGAACTGCTGCAGAGGAAAGTGCTCATCATCTAAGGTTCTGGCATCAGCCAATGCCGACTCGATGAGGTTCTTGATGCAGAGTTTGGCCACGTTGAGCAGATTGCTTCGCTCTACTAGCATGGGATTCTTCATGACACTGTCTAAAAAAAAAAAAAAAAAGACGGGAGAAAACATCATTGGCTTTTTTCGCAATCTGGGGACAAGGCATTGTTTATGTTCCAATGTGTTTGGCTTTTTCACAATCTTGGTGGCAACGAAAGCCTTTGTTTTTGTTCTGATTAATTTTTTCTTCTTCCTGTTCTTTTTGTTCTATCCCAAATCCCATAGATTTTGTACACAATTCACATCTTTGCAATACTGGGAACGAACACGAACATTCATTCAAGTACTCCTTTTCTGATTTTTCACATCATTATTACTTTGTTTTTGAAGTATAACAATAAGTTATTCAAACTCTGCGGAAAATCCCTCTGATCTGTCCCGAGACAGACACACAGACCTCTAGTTTTTAAAAAAAAATTCTGGTAATAAAAACACAAGTTAAAATGTGAGCAGCCACTGGATACCAGTTGCCTGATGATGTCAACTGGCTGAAGATGCAACACAAGCTTTGCTAGATGCTCCAGGTGAGTTCAAGTACCACGGTTCTTGACACTGATACATCAAGCCCATAAAAAAAAACACTATTACCAGGGATGATATTGTCAATTAAAACAAAAGTATGAAAATTGGAATAAAGACCTAGATGCATCTTTTGTTCAAAAGTGATAATGTCTTTACTCTCAGATTCAAGGAGCTTGATTTCAGACTAATGTCTGAAAATGTTATGCATTTACGTAACTCATTTCAAAATTAGCCACTGTGATCATTATTGATAAAATAGTCCCCATCATCGATATTGTCACAATTGCAAACCCTCATTTAAATTCACTATTAATCTCGGATCACACTTACCCCAAATTTTATAACTGGAAATCCAATCCACAAAACACAAAGTGTACATTCAAAAAAAAAAAGTACTTTGTACATAGTAGCCTTTATACACACTTTCACAGGTACGGCAAACACCTACATTGATTTTCATTCTCACTTTCTGTAAGGTAAACATCAAAGCTTTTGAAAGCTTGATGAACTTTCACTTTGATTAGAGTACACTGCACTTAAACCCCTGTCTTTTATAGGTAAACAATAGGAATAATTAAGGGCAATTCCATTGAATTATAAGCCTCAATGCCAAAACAAAAAGAATCCAAATACATACATGGATGTACTAACAATGAAACGTGTATACCGTTTTGAAGCTTATTATCTGCACTTAATTGAAATGGAAGATATTTCTAACATTGTTCAACAGTTCAACTGTTGCCTTTAATTTAAACATTAATTAACAAATACACAAAAATATCAATACCTCCAACACCATGGTGTTTGAAGCTGATTTCTACTACAGCAAAAAAGTGGACGAATAATCTCTTTTTAAAATCATTGCAGTATTACTAACAGATGCATTTTGTCAGAATTAAAATCCTCTACGTGATTGCATGTAACTTATAATAAACACCCTGTTGGATTGTAAAAAATGTACATGTGCGTCTGACACCGTGGACCTTTCAAGGTCTTTGACACACATTTGGCCACATTTTAGAGAGAATATTGTTGTATTGAAATTGTATACCAAGTTTCTTGGTATTTCGGTATTTTAACAACGTCATGCAGTATTGCTTGGTATCAATTGTCATTATCAGGGGTGTGAGTGACCACTGATAAAAATAGCTGAAAACAGCTGGAAAAGGTGTTTAAAAAAAATGAATTTTGGAGATCTCCTATACTTTTGTACACAGCAAGTGAGGGAAAAAGCTGAAAAAAAGCTGAAGATCCAAAACCAAAAAAGCTGAAATCAGCTTTAAAGGTGAGATTTTCTCCTGCATTATATGGGTATTACACGTATATTGAAATATATAGTCCAAGCCTAATTGTAACCTTCCCAACGTAACCTAAATGGTAATCCCTCTTTATATATTAATTACCGATGACCGAATTCTGGAGGCAGATATTCCTGACTTAGGGCCCCAGCTACACGTATATCTATAGAGCAGGTGGAGACAGCAGACTTTCCCCTTCTGAGCCCCATCATGTTACCTCTTGATCTGTCTGAAAGATGCCCATGCATCCATCACACAACTCTCCCCAGACAATGATATTGCAACATTCATATTAAAAAAAATAAGTGCTTTGAGAATTATAAAAGGCATTAGATTATAGACAAGAAATATAAACGGTCATCTGGAATGAATTTGCAAAGCATTTTAAAGAGTTTCGGGGAAAATACTGAGGATTCTAAATACATGCACATGTCAAGTAAATGAAGCTTGAAATGGCATATTAGTTAATATAAAAAAACCTCAGACAATATGAACTATAAGCGGAAATATTATTGTCTGTCAGATAATCAGTGTCAAAAATTGATTCTCAGTTATTTTCAGGCAGATTGATGATAAACAGGCAAACAATTATCAGTTGGTGACAAATAGTTTGGAGAACATAATGAATTACAGCAGTGAAAACAGGAATTTTCATTTGGTCTAGATGCATGTGCTTGTTTCAATTTACTGTACATGTACTGTACATGTACATGTAAAACTGCATTGAAAGTCAACCCATCAATATTACACACATAGGCCTAATTATGAGAACTCAATTAGCGTTAATTGAAGTGACATGTGTGGTAAATGTACGTATTAATGCATAAATAAAAATGAAATTTGAATCTTCATCTTTCAAGTCTTGCATTAATGAATCTACGGTACATGCATGCATATTTATTTTGCACAATGATGACAATGCAGTAACGTACTTCTGCAACAAGACAGACACATTTTTCTTTTCTGTTTTTTTTCCTTCATTTTATCCGAGTTTAGTAAATCACTTCAATCAATACCTGACTTTGCATACATTTTTGTAAAAACATGATGAACTTTATCTTTCACAAGGTACGTAGATTAAATTAAGAAATTCTTTATCAAATTTATGCAAAATTAAATGTACATGCTTTTCTGGAATCCATTAATTATTTACACGTATATTTTCTGTTCCAATATCTTGCCATCCCCAATTGACAACCCCCCCCCCTCATTATAATACATGTCTGTGTGCGGCAGAGAATTTTCCGAAAATATAAAACAGACTGTGCTTGAGACTGTAGGTCACATGCATCAGAATTCAGACGGCATTCGGATAACATGGGCTATCATATTCCTTGAGGCAGCTCTGAATAAACAGGATTGAGGGGGGGGGTAGGGGGAGTAGGGCAGTGCAGGGACATTTAGAATGAGCAGAGATTATCAGATGATCAGATGATCAACTAATTTTTGGAAATCCAGTAAATTGTATTTTATCATCATTTTGTCATTGCATTAGTTTAGTTGTGTATCTTTCATGACACCTGTAGTGTCATATTACTGAAATTTGTAATATTTATAGTTATTATAATAAATGTTTGTACAAAGTAATTGCCTGTGACAATTACAGTTTCAAATTGAGTACAAAGTGGATGAAAATGGTAATAAGTCAAAAGCAGGAAACAAAAAGAAAAGTGCAAACAAAAAATTCTGATATTGTGCTGAAAAATAAAACCAAGAAAAGGGGCATTCATTTAAATGCTCTACATATTCACTTCAAATAATGGAAAGAAAGAGCATTTCACAAACTTCGTAATCAATATTCTGGGCTCTACCTTCGTCGTCTTCGGATGGTGACATCAGTTTGGGCGTGGCACCGGGCGTGCTCGTTGTCATGTCAGCCAGCTCCCGCAGGCACAACCACTCCCCGTCCACCGACACCCGAAAGTTGCACAAATAGATGGTGTCCGTCATGGCGGCCCCCGGCTGCCCCTCCGCCTCAGGCAGATCGGCATCCATCTTGTGTCCAAAAGCTTTATGCACAGGCTAGTACTAACAGAACCAGAGTGGAGTTCAACTCTGCTGGCTATTTCTTCGTGTAGAGTAAAAACTGACGAGAAAGTGCCCCTTCGACGTGAATGCGCAAGAATTTCAAGAGAGGTGGCAGAAATTCTCATGTCATCTTAAAGTGACCTCCTGACATTTTGAGTCGTCTAGAATCACTCACTTTGTCGCTGTGTTCTCGTGGCTATTGTGGACAAAACCAAAATGAATGCTATACGCAGACGGATGCCCACTATCACATTACAGATCTGAGAATAGAATATATTCTTCTCCGACAGTGTGCTTTGTAGTAGGAACAGTTCTAGTTTCGAGGAATAAGGCAGGACTACAAGATGTACACATACAAACAACGATGAATTCACAAATTTGTGATCAGCTCAATGCATGTCACGTGACAGCGACGGTTTCAAGCTTGACCTTTATATCAACGGGAGGCGGGGTCATGAATATCGACAAAAACAGGGGAATTGTAATCCAGGCGCCCCTGATATTCCCAAGTCCGCAGCCGCAGGCGCAGGACTTTGCTGGCAAAGTGGATTACCGTGGCAACGCTGACGACAAACACGGTGAGGGTGAGAGGGAGGAATAGCCACAGCATCAAGCCTCGATGACGTGGCTCACATCAGCAGAGCTAGCATCCTTTATTTAAAGGTGTGGAGAGCTAACAGACATCCAGCCAGGTGTACTGTTAAACATGTGCAGACATTTATCTCTTCACATTAATGTCAAGTATCTAGGATAATACGTACATACAGCACATTCATGTCATGATCAATGTACATTGTACATCCAATCATCTACATGTACATGTACATGTTTATGTACTGCATCACTCTGCACCAACTGTACAAATGTACCCTATTGTACATGAACATGTGGAAAAGGTGCACTCCCACTTTCACTAATGCACAGATCCACGCATGTGTGCCTAGCTACTACTGTCTTGCACTGAAGTACTGGAGAACCATCTCCCACATAATCATCTGGAAAAACACTTCATCCGGAGCCCACAATCTCCATTTCTCATCTCCGTTTCAAAAAGCTGTTCACTGATGAGCAGTCATCCAATTAACATTCAGAGCTTCTTAGAGAGAGAGACAGGAAATTGAAAAATGTAGGTCCACCTTGCCGAAACGAGGAGGGTGGTTTGAGAGGAGGAACAGGGTTGAGTGCTCCTT